GAAGAGAAAAAAAGACTTCAAAAGCTGAGTGTATGAGGCAGGAGGATGGCGAATTGTCACCATGGGCCGCGGCCCTGCCTAGTGTTACTGGTACTGTAAAAACAAGCCATACCCAAAGTCTCCTTTCTGCCAGGGTGTCCCTGATGCCAAATCCGCATCTTTGACCTTGGGTGGAAAAAGGCACAAGTAGATGAGTTCCCACTCTGTGGCCACATAATGTCTGATGAATATGCGCAGCTATCCTCTGAAGTCTTGGAGACTGCTTGTATTTGTGCCAACGAGTACGTGATAAAAAATTGTGGCAGAGATGGCTTTCATATCTGAGTGCGGCTCCACCCTTTCCATGTTATCCATATCAACAAGATGTTGTCCTGTGCTGGGGCTGACAGGCTCCAAACAGGTATGTGAGGTGCCATGGGAAATCCCAGGGAACAGTGGCCAGGGTTCACAGTGGCCAAGTCATCATGTCCATCCATACCAAGCTGCAGAACAAGGAACATGTGATTGAGGCCCTACACAGGGCCAAGTTCAAGATCCTTAGATACCAGAAGATCCACATCTCAAAGAAGTGGGGCTTTACCAAATTTAATGGATGACGAATTTGAAGACATGGTGGCTGAGAAGCGGCTCATTCCTGATGGCTGTGGGGTCAAATATATCCCAAATCGTGGTCCCATGGACAAGTAGCGGGCCCTGCATTCATGAGGGCTTTCACTGTGCTGTCCCCTTCTTAATCTCACACACACACCAATAAATCCTGTATTGTATCCCCCCCCCAAAAAAAAAGCCAACCTCAGCAATTTAATGAGGCTCTAAGTAATTCAGTAAGACCCTGATTCTAAATAAAATACAAATAGGTTTGGGTGTTGTGGCTCAGTGGTTAAGTGCCTCTGGGTTCAATCCCCAGTACCCAAAACAAGACAAAACAAAACAAAAAAAACCAAACAACAAAACACCCAAAACAGAATGGTGGCACATGACTCTAAATCCCTGCTACTTTGGACTCTAAAGTTAGAGTTTAGAGTTTGAGACCAGAAACAACAGAGAGACACCCGCCCCCCACCCCTGCCCGCCCCACCTGTGCCCAGCCAAAAACAAATACCCTCAGATTCTTAGGTGTTTTTCTGAGAAGGCAGGAAAGAATAACCTTTAGTTTCCCAGTAACCTGAGAATCCCATTACAGGTAAGTGTACATATCATCCTGGCAACTTTCTTTGGATGGGGTAGATTGGTACCAGGATCACTGAGCCACATCTCCAGCCCTATTTTATATTTTATTTAGAGACAGGATCTCACTGAGTTGCTTACCTTCATCATTGCTGAGTCTGGCTTTGATCTTAGGATCCTCCTGTCTCAACCTCCTGAGCCACTGGAGGGGGTGTGCCACTGCACCCGGCTAACTTTTTTTTTTTTTTTTAAATATTTTTAATTGTAGATTAACACAATACCTTTATTTATTTATTTTTATATGTTGCTGAGGATCAAACCCAGTGCCTCACATATGCTAGGCAAGTGCTATGCTGCTGAGCCACAACCCCAGCCCCTCTTCTGGCAACTTTTACAGAAGAAAAAGAAATATTAGTATAAGGTCCTTGCTTAGCATCTGGACAGCCATCTTAAGTGACAGATGCCATTTTAAGGAAACAGTTTCACTTTTCCACCTGAGGGCATTTCGGAGAAAGGCTCACCACTCCCTCATACCAACCCAACCCTTAATCACACGTATTGGGAACCACTGGGCTCTGATTCCTGAGCTGGCCTATAAAAAAAATCCCAGAACCCAAGCCTGTTTTGCCTCTCTCTCCTATAGGGAGATGGCCTTTATTTGTCAGCTCTGACAAATAAACTCTCCAGTGTATCTCTGCCTGTTCTCCGTCTTTCATTTCTCGCTTACCTGTCTCTTGTTCCTTGCTTTTCCTTCAGTTAGTAACAAGTGGGCTCTATTGCCTCCAGCATCTCAATGACACTCTGCTTTCAGCATTCTCAGCTTTTATTCTAGGGCCTGTTCTTTCCAAAATGAAGAAAACTTTCCTTTATCTTAGATTAGAAGTTCAAACATTCATATTAGATCTTTTTTTTTTTTTTTTTTTTACTACATCACCAGATTTTTTTTTTTTTTTAAATTTTTGAGACAGGGTCTCACTAGGTTGCCCAGGCTGGCCTCAAACATAGGATCCTCTGTCCTCAGTCTCCCAAATTGCTGAGATTACAGGCGTGTGCCACCATGCTTGCTAAAGGTTTGTATTAGATTCTGAGATCAGAATTTTTTTTCTTTTTTTTTTGGTACAGGTGATTGAACATAAGGTTGTTTAACTTGTGAGCTATGTCCCCATCCCCTTTAAAAAAAAATATTGTATTTTTTTTTTTTTTTGTGGTGCTGGGGATTGAACTCAGGGTGTTGTGCATGTGAGGCAAGAACTCTACCAACTGAGCTGTATCCCCAGCCCTTATGCTGTATTTTGAGATAAGTCTTGCTAATTCRTTAGGGCCTCACTAAATTGCTGAGGTTTGTCTCAAGCTTTCAATCYTTTCAATCCTCTCACATCACTGGGATTACAGGCATGTGCCACCATGCCCTGCAGTTTTTCCTTTCTTTAGTAATCCCAGATACTGGGGAGCTGAGGCAGAAAGATCTCAAATTAAGGACAGTCTGGCCCAGGAAATTTTCCAAGACCCTTCCTCAAAGTAAAACATTTTATTTTATTTTTTTTTAATATTTACTTTTCAGTTTTCGGCGGACACAACATCTTTGTTTGTATGTGGTGCTGAGGATCGAACCCAGGCCGCACGCATGCCAGGCGAGCGTGCTACCGCTTGAGCCACATTCCTAGCCCCAAAGTAAAACATTTTAAAGAGGGATAGGGATATAGCTCAGTGGTAGAGTGCCTCTGGGTTCAATACCCAGTACTAGGGGGTAAAAAGGGAAAAGAAAAAAAAAGAACAGAAAATTTAACATCTTTCATAGAAAGACTGGAATTTTACCTTTTCCTTTTTCTCTTCTTCTTTCTCCCTACCTCCTCTTTTTTGTCTTACTTTTGACATTGGTCACTTTCTCTCCAAGGTTTTTTTTTTTTTTTTTTTTTGTAATCAGGGATCGAATTCAGGGGTGCTTAACCACTGAGACACATCCCTAGCTCCCCTTTTTTAAAAAATTATAAACTTCATAGAGACAGGATCTCCCTGAGTTACTTAGGGCCTTGCTAAATTGCTGAGACTGACTTTGACTCAAGATCTTCCTGCTTCAGCCKCCCAAACTACTAGGATTACTGCGACCTGGGGCAGTCTCCCCAATCTTTGAGATCTATATCTATAACTATTCCGGGGATTGAACTCAGGGGCACTCAACCGCTGAGCCACATCCCCAGCCCTATTATTTATTTATTTATTTATTTTTATTGTTGGTTGTTCAAAACATTACATAGTTCTTGATATATCATATTTCACACTTTGATTCAAGTGGGTTATGAACTCCCATTTTTACCCCGTATCCTATTTTGTATTTTATTTAGAGACAAGGTCTCACTGAGTTGCTTGGCACCTCACTATTGCTGAAGCTGGCTTTGAACTCTGGATCCTCCTACCTCAGTCTCCCTAGCTGCTGAGATTACAGGCTTGTGCCACTGCACTGGGCCTCTCCAATCTTTATTTCTATAAAGTGAGTAAATGAGGGCTGGATGTGATGGAAGATTCTTGGTAATGATCAGTGCTTCCTACCGGTTCTTCCCCACTTTGGTTAAAGTGCTGTGCCTGCTAATTTGAAGTCTGTATTGTTGAATTCCCAGAAAAAGATTGAGCCTGGTAGGGACTACATATTCAAACTAGCCTAAGGGAGTCTGACTTAAATTAAGCCTGTTTTTTTGACCTATGCCAAAGCAGCACATTTGTGTAAGGGTTGATAGTTGGGCTTCACTCGGCTAAAGGTCTGATTTTCATTTACCAGTTTGCAAAAGGGCCAGGCTCCATGGTGAGAGCTGAAAAGTAGGGGGTTATTTGCTTGTAAATTCCTCAATGGCACATATGGGATAGCTAGAACATGTCCAATAAGCAGCTTGCACTTTTATTTAGCAGTGTCCCTGTGCATTCCAGATAAGGTCAACTCTTTAATAAAGTTTCCAGGGCTGGGCCTGGTGGCTCATGCCTGTAATCCCAGCAACTCAGGAGGCTGAGGCAGGAGGATAGCAAGTCTGAGGCCTGCCTCAGCAATTTAGCTAGATCCTCAGCAACATAGTCCAACACTGTCTCAAAACAAAAAATAAAAAGGGCTGAGCATTTTGCTCAGAGGTAAAGCACCCCTGGGTTCTATCGGTTTGTTGTTTGTTTGTTTATATTTTTGGTAGCTGGGAGTGAACCCAGAGGCACTTTACCACTGACCCATATCCCACTTTACCACTGAACCACATCTCCAGGCCATATATATATATATATATATATATATATATATAGTGCTGAGGATCGAACTCGGGCCTCCCACGTGCTGGGCAAGCGCTCTACCGCTGAGCCACAACCCCAGCGGGAACTCCGCCCCCCCCCCCTTTTAATATTTCATTTAGAGACAGGGTCTTGCTGAGTTGCACAGGGCTTCGCTAAGTAACTTGTGATCCTTCTGCCTCAGCCTCCCTAGCTTCTGGGATTACAGGCGTACGCCACCGCACCCTGCACCCTCATTGCATGCTGGATGTGATCATGAAAAAAACCAAAATGTACTGTCAGTGGTCACCTCAGAGCACCTAAGTGCTTGCACCCTGAAGTGCAAGCAGGATCCAGAATACTGGAAGTGCCATTCCATCTATGGACCCCTAGGAAAACCGCAGTCCCATAGTTTAGTAACCTAGCCAAGATACAGTAGAGGATTCAAACCCTGGGGTAGCTGCCAAATTCTTTAAGTTTATAGAAGACCTAGGGCCTGCCAGCGGCCATGTCCATCTGAGACCCAWAGGTCTAGTACGTCAGGCACTGAAGAGGACGCCCTAGGCGCCCGCTGCGCAGGCGCAAGATGACCAAAAGGGCCCGGGCCCTCTAGGCTGCGCAGGCGCAGGGGCTGCTCCCGGCGAGTCCCGACGGCGGCGGCGGCGACTGAGGGGCCGGGGCGTGGAGCAGCGGTGTGGTGGCGGCGGGCGGCCACGGAGCAGCCATGAGGGCAGGGCCCAGTCACAGACAGTGAGTCCTCGTGGAATGGGAGTGGATAGCAGGGGAAAAGGGGGTGACCTGGTGGAAGATTACGCTGATTCGAGGGGTGGGCTTTGCCCTTTGGGGACTGAGGGGTGTGGGGGAGGGACAGTTTGAGGTGATGCTGAAAGAATTTGGGTCATGGGTAGCCAGGTCGGGAGTCCAAGAGTTGGACCTCTTGGCGGAGGGAAGGGGTTGAACGCTGAGGCGTGAAGGCGTTCACGGCAGGGTCAGTGTCCTGCGCTCCCCTGTTTGTCATCATCCCTTCCCCCAGGAGCTTTGGTCGCCTCTCCCTTTCCGCTTCTTTCAGAGAATGGTTGTTGGGGGAGGGTGGTGGAGGATGAAAGCCCTGCTGGAGCTGAAGAAGCCAACTCTGAACCCGGCAGGGAAGAGACGGTCGCCCAGCGTAGTAGGCTGCCCTGGGTAAAGGGTGGCAGTTGGGAACCCGCCGTTTAAAGCTGGGAGGGATCTAGGGAAAAGGGATAAAGGTTTGGAGTCAGAAACATTCAAGAGTAAGTCCACCACTGATAAAATTGATAGATAACCTTGAGCAGGGCCCACTTCTTTCTGAACCTTTGGAAGATGTCGGACTTCAGACGGGTTTTGGCAAGCATCGTGTAGGTGGTTGAGATTGTTTATGAAAATTGTAAATTGTAAGTACCGTGTAAATGTCGATATATTATCAACACTATCAATGCATTATGGAACTTATTGTTACTAATAGAATGACTGATTTCTCTGTTAAGGTGAAACGTGTTGTTTGTAAAACCTCAGTAGACAAATAGGAGGTTTCTACAAAGGCACAGCAGATCAAGTGCAAAAATACCAGTTTCTTCTGTGATGTGACAAATTAGCTGTCAGACTTGTGTAGAAAAAAATACCATACTCTGGCACTTTTACAAATGGTGTGTAGCTCCTCACCCAAGAGGAAGGAAATAGAGAATGGAGGACCAAATGCTATCTCAGATTCCCTTGTAATACAGTTGGCACTGAAGTGCTTTGAGTTGAGGAACCTAGTTTGAGACAAGCTGGGAGGGCTGTCTAGTGAGGGGTGTGCATATATAAATTGCTTACATTTTTTTTTTTTTGCAGTGCTGGGGATTGAACTCTGGACCTGGGGCTACTCCTCCAGCCCAAAACTTAATTTTCTTCTTCTTCCTCTTCTCTTTCTTCTTCTTCTTTCTCTCTCTCTTTTTTTTTTTTTTTTTTTGCTATGCTGGGAATCAAACTCAGGATTTCATACACATTAGGCAAGTGTTTTACCATTTTACTGTGGTAAAACACTTGCCTAATGTGTATGAAAGCTACCTTCCAGCCCCTGTTATTTTATCTATTTATTTTGTACTGGGGATTGAACCCAGGGGCACTTTATTACTGCACTATATCCCTACATCTCTAGTGCTTTTTTTTTTAATAGGCACGCACCATCATGTCCAGCTTGCTGATGGTCTAAATTGTCGTGTGTGGCCTTGAATTTATAATCCTCCTGCCTCAGCCTACTGAGTCATTGGGATTACAGGTGTGCACTACCTTATCCACCCTTGACTATTTTGCAGCTCAAATATACATACAGCAACTTTTTAGCTCCCTTTTTTTGGGGGTGGGGTACTGAGGATTTAACCCAGGGGCAATATACCACTGAGCTACATCCCCAGCCCTTTATTTTTTGTTTTTAGGCAGGGTCTCACTAAGTTGCTTAGGACCTCGATAGGTTGCTGAGACTGGCATTGAACTTGTGATCCTCCTGTCTCAGCCTCAACAGATGCTAGGATTATTAATTATTTTTTAACTTAAAGGCATGTGCTACTTTGCTCATTTTAGCACCTTTTTTAAAAAATTATTTTTTAATATTAATTTTTTTTGGGATACCAAGGATTGAACCCAGGTGTGCTTAACCACTGAACACATCCCCAATCCATTTTATTTTGAGACAGGGTCTTGCTAAGTTACTGAGGACCTTGTTAAATTTCCGAGGCTGGCTTTGAACTTTTGATCCTTCTGCCTCAGCCTCTCAAGATGTTGGGATTATATAAGTGTGCACCAGTGGGCCTAGCTGTTATTTTAATCTACTSTGCTTGTTTGTGAAACCTGCTAGGTGGAATGAAAAAGGCATCAATTGTGCAGGAACTCAAGAAATGGGTGATTTCTTTGAGAGACTGGAAGAACACTTCTGAGCCTTTATTTTTAAGGATAGACAAAGTAAAGGACAGATTAGATTATTTGCTTCCAGAGAGAGAAAATTGTTTTCTAGCCATAGCTTTTGAAAAAAAGTTTCCAAACTCCCTTTAGAGACAGATGCTTTAGTTTTTTTTTGGTTTTGTGGATTGAGAGCTTAAAATGTTGGGGCTTTTTAGAAATTGGTGAGTAAAGGTAGGGAATGGCTATACTAAATCTTTGAAAATTGACAGATATGAGGAATAAATGATTTTACAGGTAGGGTAGAAACAAAACTGAGTTATCATTACCTTCTCTATGTAGTAAAATGTATTTTATCTTTTCCTGAAAATGCACAATGATGTATAATTTTAAACTTGCTGCTCTTTCTAATTCCTTGGCTCTTTCAATAAATTCTTTGCCCATAACATTGATTCTTCTTCTTTTTTTAATTACTATTTTTTTAAATTAGTTATTGATGAACCTTTATTTATTTAATTGCTTATATGTGGTGCTGAGAATCGAACCCTGCCTCATGCATGCTAGACAAGCGCTCTACCACTGAGCCACAACTCCAGCCCCTAATTATTCTTTTTTAGAAGATAGTTTAAAAAAATCAGACTGGGTGTCCTCATGCATTCCTATATGATGGCAACTCTGGAGGCTAAAGCAGGAGGATCACAAATTTTAGGCCAGCCTGGGCAGTTTAGCAAGACCTTAAGCAACTAAAGGAGATCCTGTCTCAAAACAAAAATAAAATGGGCTGGGGATGTGGCTCAGTGATAAAGTGACTTTGGGTTCAGTCCCCATTACCCCCCCCCAAAAAAAAAAAAAAAGCTGGGATGGGATGTAGCTCAGTTGTAGAACACTGCCCAAATATGTGCAAGCCCTGGATCTGATCTCCAGTACTGCAAAAAGAAAGTATTTTCAGTTGCCACAGGTCATTATGGAATATAGGTTTATTCTGTCTTTACACATGGTAGATGAAATAGAAGCAGAAAATGTTGTAGCTTCCCTATTTATATTTGGTGCTGGGGAGTGAACCGAGGGGTGCTCTACCACTGAGTTACTTCCCCAGCCTTTTTATTTTTTATTTTGAGACAGAGTCTCACTAAGTTACTTAGGCGCTCTAAAGCTCTGAGGCTGGCCTCAAACTTGTGTTCTTTTGCTCAGTCTCCTAAATTACTGGAATTACAGAAATGTGCCACTGTGCCTGCTCGTGCATTGATTGATTGATTGCAGCACTGGGGATTGACCTAGGGCTTTGTACAGGGTAGGCAAGTGCTGTACCACTGAGCTACATCCCTATTCTTGAACATTTATTTTATTTTATTTTTAATATTTATTTTTTAGTTGTAGTTGGACACAAATCTTTGTTTTATTTATTTTTATGTGGTGCTGAGGATCGAACCCAGGGCCTCGGATGTGCTACAATCAAACAATCCCAGCCACTGAACATTTATTTTAAATGTTGGTAATTCATATGTCCCTATATGAAAATTTCCATCAGTTCAAACAAGTTATAAATGTCATCTGTGTTATAATAAAATAATATATATTTCTTCAGCTATAATGAGAATTTCTTATCCTTTCTTTTTTTTTTCCTCTTTCCTATTTATGGAAACTTTTTTTTTTTTTATTGTTGGTCATTCAAAACATTACATAGTTCTTAATACATCATATTTCACAGTTTGATTCAAGTGGGTTATGAACTCCCAATTTTACCCCGTATACAGATTCTATTTATGGAAACTTTTATGTTGTAAGTAACAGTCAACAGACAAGGACTTTTTTCCTGGAAT